GGCGTTATAAAAATGTACACTTTATTACACCTTCAGGTAGGATACATCACTAATTCCGTACAATCCTACTGGATCAAGTAACAAACGCTTACGTTCATAAGTTATTTACAGGTTGACTTCCTAACGCACTCCTGGGAGAAAGACACATCAAAAGGAAAAATAAGAAGGAAAAAAGAAAAAGAAAAAAAAAAAAAAAAGAGGTGATTTTTATCTTCATTAACTGACCTAAACAAGAAACAATTGCCTCTTTCGACACCAAATCAGACCACACAATGATGCAGCCAACAGCCTCCCGCTGCTGGAAGCATTCCCCCCCACCCCACCCCCCCGACTTTCATGCACATAATAAGAGCTAAACATTTAAAAGTAAAACTGGGGCTAACTAAGCAATATTTTTCGATGAGCAACACTAAACTGTACACAGTGCCAGTTATCCATCACCGCTGCATTTGCTTTGCATTTTGAACTACTCCACTGCCAACGCTGGCAGCTTCCCGGTGAGGAATGAAGTTTGGCACAAACCAGCGGTTTCAGGGGAATACAACTGCATGCACAAACAGCTTAAAAAAAAACCAACAGTGCCCCCCTATTCGCAGACCCAAGGGTCCAAGAAAAAGAGGATGCAGGAAAAGAGAGGTATAAAATTATATATAAAAAAAATAATAATAATCAGGAACACTGCCTGACCCAGTGTTTACATTCGTGATCTTAAAGAGAATGGGCTGTAGCGATCCTACTCAAAACAAAGGAGCTGACTGGGTATTCTTTCTTGTTTAAGCCATTTGGATTGCTAGGTACCTATAGGTGTGTACATACAGAGGTAAGAATGAAAGATACGCTTCCCTTGCCTTTAAACAGGCTCCCCTCCTAAAAGAGTAAAAAGTTCACAGAATGGAAAAATAATTTTAAAACCATCTCAGAAAAGGAATGTTATAATTTTGTCTGAATTTTACACATCATGCAGTTTTATGGCCAAAGTAAAATAAATAAAAAAAAAATAAACCCAAAAAAGCCACAAGGAGCTTTTGGATTCCTCACTCAGTGCTGTTTGCAAACAGAGTCTGTTTTTCATTTTATGCAAGAAAAGTAAAGAAAACCCTCACAGTTCTATGCAGCTTTTTACTTGGGTTTTTGTTTTGTTTTTCTTTTCATAACAATAAGGCAAACTGACTTGGAGGAAGAGGCCACGCTCTATTCACATCCAAAATACCCACCTGAAGATACATTCATCATTAGCTTTAGTAAAAGAATAGTACAAAAGTTAGATCTTATTCTTTACACAGTTGAAGAATTAAGTTTTAGATTTAATTTCACTATTCTCCCCTTCCCCCAGCCCCCCACCCCCCGAGCTGAAAGCTGAGTAGAAAGTACTGAACATTTAAACATGTTGCAAGAGCAGAATGAAACGGAGAGATTTATCAGTTGGAGAGTTTCCTTGACAGAAGTCTCATGAGAAACAGCTATGGATCATTTGTTTAGCTGTATCCACCAAACAATTCTTTTACAAAAAAAAAAAAAAAAAAAAAAGGGCTACGCTTTAATACACATCTACTATCAACACAGTATTTACTCAGTTCATGCCTAAAATATCCATTATCTTAAAGTGAAATATGAGAATGAACGCACAGGTTGGGTGATTCAGTAAACTGTACACAAAACTACTAACAAACATTTTAAAAGACTTACAAAAATGGAGAATGAAACTTTTTTTCCTTTTTAATTACATATACTTACAGGTTTTCACATTTATTGGCTAAACTTTGCAGGGAGCACTTCAAACATGTTAGATCTTCCAGAGTTATTTACCTCAAGCGAGAACAACACGCAGCCTTTACACAGATGGAAAATACTTTGCTATGTTAGCCACACTTGGTACTTTGAATGGCTTCACCATGGATACTGAGCACACATCCAAACTCTAGCAAAGAAGTGCATATCCCCACGGGCAGTTTGGGGTACGCTAACATAGATGAATTTTACTGACATTTATGGCATATTACCATTTTACTTTCATGGAACCGGGCAGAATTTAAACGTAAGTAATGTTTGCTTTATCTGGTTTGAATGAGCACAGAGAACACTGGCAAAATGCATCTTGTACATATTTTTTGAGTGCTAAACAGTTGCTAATACACTGAAGTTATATGACAGTTTCCATGTTTAAATGTTCACCAGCAAAACACCTTCTGCTTAAAAAATAAAATAAAATAAAATAGAGGTGGCTTGTCTTCATTTGGGTGTTTAGAGTAGCTTCTCACTTGGCTTAGCAAACAAGAAATGCTGTGTTTCCCCATTATTGCATTTTAATCATTAGTTCAACTTGGTTTAGTCGGTGCCTTTAATCTGACAGTAGGCGTCCTCATTTGTACTTTTGCTTGCTGATTCTGGGCTTCAGGTGTTGCTGGTGTCTGGGCTGGATTCTGTACACCTGGAGCCTGAATCTGGGGGGATGCTGTTGTCACGACTTGCTGTTGGATCAGTTTCTGCTGGACGACCTGAGCAGTAGCAGTTGTTGCAGGAATCACCTGAACCTGCTGCTGACCTGCTGTGGTCTGAGAAAGCGTCACAGTTTGGGGTTGAGCTTGTACCTAGACATCAGGACGACAAGGCAATTACAAAAGAATAGTTTGGCACTAAACTGAGCATTCATTTGATTTTTGCTCTACAGAAGCCATCTTATTTAGATAAGCATTTGCCCTCTTGACTGACAAGCATCTTGGACAAAGTAGGAAGGCTGGGAGGAATTCTGGGAACACGGGCTCTGTGGTTTCACTGACAAACACCATTCTGTCACATCTTCTAGAGCTTAAAAATCAGAAGTAAGAGCCAAGATGCCTGTACCTCACATGTCTGCAGTGCAAATCAAAGGGCATTCCCCCAGATCCTTTACAGAAGGTAGATGGAAGATAAAAAAAACAAACCACTGGATAAATAGGAAAATTCCTGTACTGCAGAAGTGAAAGACCAGGGAGAAGGGAGGGATAGATGGAGAATCAAAGAGGTTAAAACACTGACTCTGCACCCATATTGTGACAATAAATACAGCCACTGAGGCTTCCTACTGGTCCCTCACATTACCATTTCAGACTACAGCTGCCAGTCTCTATTCCCAATTTAGGGTAGAAATAGTTTGAACTCCATCCAGAAATCTAATTTTCATAGCTTTACCCAGAGCAAGGGAGAAAAAAAAAAAAACTAAAAAAATCAACATCTCCTTGTTCAGAGGACAAAGTCATTAAAACTGAGCAGCTTCCGCTGCCTTTGTTAGATGCAGACGCCAAATGAAGCTGCAAGGGCGTCTCCAGTGGAAAGTTAACTCTTGTCCAATCCAAGAGGAATCCATCAGGAAGCACTAAAAATGCAGGTAAGAATGCCACCTACACGTCAAGACCCCAGTTTTAAAAGTACTTAGCATGGCCTAATCCTACTGCCACTGATGTCACTGGCGTGTGTGGGAGGGGAGCTGTTTGTCTTTTTACCATGGACTTCAACAGTCCCAGAGTTATGCCAACATCAATGACTTTTGAAAAATCTAGCTTTTAATGTCCCTTGAAAAATTACCTAGGAGCTCTTACTGACTACAGAAGACAACTCAGTTTGTGTTGACTGATGAGGTTTGTACTCCCTGCTGTCTACCTTGCCCTTGAAGCATTCACATCTGAGGTGGTTATCAGTCAGTTTACACCACTTTATCATCTTTTTAAGATAAACAGTCCCAGATTTTATTCTGCACTAAAACACTGCACTATAAACTGTGACAGATTAAGATCCGATTGGCTCAGATTTTTGTGCACCAAAGGTAATAACTTCATCCACCGTCCAGAGTTCGATCATTCCTGCCAATCCACTGCGTAAGTTATGCCTGTTGCTAATGTCTGAACGACACTGTTCTAAACAGCGTTAAACAAACTGCCTGGTAGTTAGGGGAGTGAAAACCAAACCGTCTCACCTTCTCCTGCCCTAGTCCCCTCTGTTACCATACCACATTTAGAACAGACACCACACCATTCTGACTTATACAATGCACTCAGCACAGCGTTATGAACTGGAACAAAACAATTTGTAACCCTTGATTTGTCCCAATTTTTGTAGAACAGACTCAGATGATACTCATTAGTCCAATTATTTGCTATCTTGACTATACATCACAAAATACCAATTTTTAAAAATTCTTTCAGCTCTAGAAAATATTTTTTAAGATCTGGTTTTCAGCTTATCTACAGCAAATATTGATGCACCTACCAAAGTTTTAGACTTTGGTATATATAGCAGCTCACTCAGTATTCACTCGATTCGTTTTTATAGAAGGGCACCTACTATATCCTTCAAAAATACCGCCTATGCCACACATAAGGTGGAAAATACACACACTCCACATAAACAAGCTTTCAGTAGGATCATGTTTC